ATTTCATTTGATTAATTATCTTTTCTTTGTCAATATTAATTTGCTGAGAGATACTTTGAATAATATTAGGTTGATTTCCTTTTCTTGCTTTTTCTAAAAGGTTATGCTCTTTATTTTTAACATGCCTATCGATTAAATCCTTCTTGTAAGTATTACACCCTTTAGCAAATTGATTGCTATAACCCGCCTTCTCACACCAGGTACAAAACATAAAAACTTTCTCATCAATATTACGATACTCTAACCAATCATGAATATTACGCCATGAATCTTTTGGAGAAGCAGCTGTTTTTGATTTTTTATTAACTTTACTCCCATCGGTTGCAGAATTCGGCTTTCTTTTAGGAGTTTCACTGCTTTGTCCAGAGCGGCCTAAAAACTTGTCCATGTTTTCATTAAAAAAAAAAAAGGTAAAATTTTGATTACATTATAATGATAATGATAATCAAAATTCGTAAAAAAAATCATGGTTGAATATCTCCGAAAATTACATTTAAACAAAGTCAATTAAAAATATTTTCGGAAAGACCGAATATACAGTGCATTATTTTTATTTTTATTTTTTATTATTTTTTTTTTTTATCGATCTGATAATCAATCAACAATCATCAACTGTGCGGAATTGTGCGGAATTGTGCGGACTGTATGTGGGTTGTGCGGCAATTTTTTCTAAAATTTTCTGTGCGGATTTGCGCACACTTTTACAAAATTTATGTGCGGAATTTTATTAGTCATGTGTAAGCGCACGTGCTGCACTATGAAAATCATACACTGATTATTAGTATAAATATATAGTAAATTATATAATTTTAATATAATTTTATTATAAAATATTTTTGTATTAATTTATATATAATGAATGTGAAACTATTACTGATGATGTAATCATTATACAAATTCATCAGTATATTTATTTATTTAGGTATTATAGTATATTAGATAAAACTAAATTTAAATCATAAGAAATACTTTTTAGGATGATAGAATTATCATATTTATATAGTGTAATTGAAATATAAGTGTATTTATTAGATGTAATAAATGAAACTTATTTCAAAAATTAATAATATAGTAACTGATAATAACTAATATAAAAAAAATATGTGAAAATATTGAAATTAATGAAAGAATTTCTTATGCTATATAAATACTATATATAGAAGCTTTGCAGTAGAAAGGAAGAAAACTTTAAAAAAATTAAAATTTTACTTTATAAGCTAAATAAATATGATTTTTTTAGTTAAATAAGTTCAGATTTAATATTATCTTAAAAAATTTTTTTTATGAATTTCCTTCCTTTTTACTGCAAAGCTCCTATATATTTTAATTAGAAAAAGAATTAGATAATTAATTGATAAATATATAGATCTTATTACTTTTTAATAATAGACTAAAAAAAATAATTAAAGAAATCACAAATCTATTTATATCATTAACAAATAATATAATTAGATATATAAAAAAATTGTTGAAAATTTTATTATTTAAATATCATAAAAGTAAATAATATAAAATAGAATGCAAAATTATATATTTTTAAAAACCTATTATTTTAAAATTAGTAATTTTAATGTTAAAGATTTTTTTATTAAATGACATAAGTTTATAAATTTATAAAAAAGATAAAAAATTAAAAAAATTATATCTAACAGTTTATAAATAGAAAGTTATTAAAGAAACTAAAATACTTGTAAATTGCAACTAAAGTTTTAAGTATGTAAATAAAAGAAATTCTTAAACAGATTTTACTTATTAGAATTTAATATATGGGACCTTTGCAATAGAAAGGGAGGAAACTGCCGAAAAAATCAAAAATGAGTTAATGCTAAATTTGAACATATTTCAGCCTAAAAATCATATTTGGCATATAAAAGAAAATTAATTTTTCCCGGCAGTTTCCCCCCTTTCTATTGCAAAGGCCCCATATAATTAATTATCAAATTGAAATCTTAGAAGATTTAATTATAAGATAAGAATTTCTTAAGATTTATTTTTTTAAAAGAATTATTTTTTTTATTTCATATTGAAGTTTAGAATTTATTAAATCTCAAGAAAAAAGTAATAGTATTATTAATCAATTAAAAGCAGAGTTTGAAATCATTAAACAAATGATATTACTAATATATAATATAAATATAAATGATTTAATAATAAATGAATCATTTTTTAAAAAAAAAAGAATGCCTAAAATTGCTATACCAATAAAGAATGAATTCTAACATTATCTTAATGTCTTAGAATTACTTCTTGAAGAATATGATTCCTCTTTATGGTTGGTTGCAAATAAAAACAATACATAATATTACATAAATTAGTAATAAAATAATTTTTTATACCTATAGCATCAGTTCTATTAGAAAAACCTTTTCTGATGCTAAAAATTTAATAAAGAATTCGTCTGGATTTATTACTTATTAATCAGCTAAAAGAAATAGAAAATTTGTTGATATAAATTCAAATTTTTTTGATAATTAAATATTTTGAATAATTTAATTTATTTTGTTATATTCCGATTAAAAATATAATACAAAAAATTATTGTTAAAATTAAAAAAAATTGATTAATCAAAATCAAAAATCGAGATTCAAAGTCTGTAAATATAATTATTTTAATTACCAATAATATCAGTAATAAATTCTACATTTTTACAATTTAGTTTAAAAGGTCTCTCCTAAAAAACTTCCATATGGTTTATTGCAATTATTTTTAATTAATAATGGTTGTGGATGGAGTAAACACACCAAGCGTTGTATACATTCACAAGCATAGAGATTTCGAACCCCTGAACATTATTTGCCATTTGGTAAGCAATCCGTGCAACAAAAGACCTTTTTTTATCCCAATTAAGGAAATATCGAAAAAGTAAATAATAAATGAATTTTTCGTAACATTAATCACGTAATACTATTACGTATAGTAGTAGATCGTAAGGTTTTCTATTGTATCTCGTAAATAATGTGATTGAATACATGGAAAGAGAACAAGGGAATATGGAGGATAAATCTATGTACCTCCTCGAAGGAAGACGGATTAAGTTTAAACAAATTAGGACATTTTATAAATGTGGGCATTTATTTATTTTCCAATCTCCTTAATTACGATCATATATCTTATTGATGATCGGTGCTTAACTATTATTGTATCCGGAATTCAATAAAATAAAGATTGTTTCATTTGGAGTAACGTAATGATAAAAATCTTGACATTGATTATGTAAATAAAAAATTATTTTCTGCAGAAAAGGTTGAAGAGAAATGCATTTTTAGTTAAATAATAATACGAAATAGGAATACAACGTATAAATTTCTCCCAAAATAGTAATAAATTGTCTTTGTAAGACAATTTGTTAGGGAACCTTAAATTTGTGAATTTCATGCGGTGTAACTTTAATCATTTCATCATATGAAAAACTTTATTTACTTTACTACGCCATTATGCTGCGTTAACCCAAAATGTCGCGTGACGCGAAATAATGTGCGAGTGGATATAGATTTTTTTTTTTTTGAAAAAATGAAAATGAAAAAAAAACAAATTTTCGAAATTATTTTTTTTTTATGATCCTTTATTTATATATATATATATATTTATAAAACATATTAAACATTATTTATATTTTATATTTATAAAATTTAATAATAATACACGAATATAGATAGATATGATTATATACTTTATACACGACCAAAAAAAGTTCGGGCTTAATTATTTTCGACGATAATCCTCATAATACATGGTCTTTCTCTTAGAATCGTTGCTCTTTATGCTTCCATCTTTTGTATGATCATCATTATCATATGCTATTACTTTAATCATTCTATTTTGATTTTTAGTTCCTCCCAGATTACTAATAAGACTATTGTTACTCGAACTTGTAATGCTACTACTTCTTTTACCTAAACTGTTTCCATCCGCATCAACAACGACAACGTGAGGGTGCATTGGTTCGAATTGTAATATAGTTCCATTTTTTTGTTTTTTCTGTGAGCGTTTATAACATATTATTGCTATTGTTAAAGCAATAACTAAAAATACTATGGTGGGAATTAAAATAAAAATTAATGTGTTTGATTTGAACGCTGAGTTTATTGAATTTGTGAAGTTAACTGAAAAGGTTGTTTCAGGAAGCGGTGTTTGTATTGATGTTCCTTCTATAGATGATTTCGTGGACACCTCAGCAAGAAAAGTTGAAGAATCATTTGCTGCTGCGGGAGATGGTTCTGCAGTAGGAGAAACATTTGAGTCCGACATGATAACTTTTAAATTAGATAATATCGTTTCTGCGTCGCGAAAACAAGTTTTCAGTCGTAAGAAAAGGTTATAAGCTTATTTACAAATTTTTTTTTTATAAAAAAAATGTTATTACAGGTTCGCTTAAATTTTATGATAAAGGTGTATAAAAAGGAAAGAAATTGTAATCACTCAATGATTAAGAGATGGGAAAAAAATAAAAGGAAAGACTTTGGTAAGAAGTTGGAGTTGAAAGGATATTAAAGGTGGTTTTTCACAAATGAGTCAGGATAAAGAGCGAAATCATGAAAAAAAGTTACAAATTTATAAAAATAAAAATTGTACTTTGTAATTAATTAATTGTCTCGTAACACGAAAAAATTAATTGGTTATTTTTTCGTATAATGTTGTTATGATTTTTAGTTGTTCGTTTTTTGTGGTTTATATACAAATTTTACCGACAAATTTTTTTTTCTTTTTGTTTTTTTGAGTACGAAATTTACAAATAGAATTTCTTTATTCGACTTGGTTTGTTGATTTTTTGAAATGGTAAATGGAAAACCAATAAAAAGATTACATCACGAACCACGTGACAAAGTGATAAAAAAAATGGTATTTTTAAAACATTTATCGTTATAGTCTTACAAATCAAATATATATTTTTCATTGTTATTTTTTAATAAAAATTTTCGATTGAAAAAATGAATCTTTTCTTTACTTCCAAACACCTTTTTTTTTCATCTACAATCAAGACATTAATACAATATGTAAATTTAACTTTTAAAGATATAGGCTCCATGCATCATTACCATTTATCATATTACAATTATTAATTTCAAATGAGTAATCATTAGGAAAAAAAAAAACCGCTAATTAACGAAAAAAAAAAAAAAAAAAAAAAAAAGGTTTTAAATTTAATCAAAACAAATACAAAAGCTGTGATTGTATGAAAATTTTGTTTTAATATGCAGAAGGGATATACATTTCAATGAAGAAAATAAATTATCATATACAAATGATCTTCTTAAGAAGCTTCTTCATTCCTCCTATGGAAATTGTTTCTTTTGATACACATTCCCGCGAAAAAAAAAGAAACAATTTACATGTGCAAAATATTCATTTCATAGTTTAAATGAGTAAGATAGCTGCTTTATTTTTATCCAAAAAAATGAAGTTTAATAAAAATTTTAAATTATAAAAAAAAAAAAGTTTTTGATTCAAGATTTTAAAACCATTAAACTCCTGATAACAAACAGATCATTAAACTATGTTAATATATCCCTGCATTTTTATTTTAAGTTAAAGACAATTCTTGGAAATGTAAAAAGAATAATTTTCTTAAAAAAAAAAAAATAAGAAAATCTTTCTAAAATTTAAAAAATAACATTGTGTAAAGACATAAATGGACAAGTTAAGGAAGGCTATGCAAAAAAAAAAAATCTAACGATGAACTCTCCATGTAAATCATTTCCCAAATTTGTTAAAAAGAGAACAAGCCGAATATATTTCGAATTTAATTATAAAGAAAAAAGTTTTATCATCATAAGTTTGATTAATGTTTATTTAGTAAGGCGCAACCAAGATAACCTTACATTGGATAAACATAAAACTAGTAGTTTTTCGTCAAATAATTAAGGGGATCTTCTTGAAATATCAGCGTTTTTCATTTTTTATTTTGGTAAAGATTCTATAATAATTTCAGAATAGCTTCAATAAAATACCAATAAAATTTCGTTTTATTCCTCATTTTTTTTTTTGAAGCCCAATAATGAATATGGGGTTAAAATGAATTTAATTGGTTCTTTATTCATTTCATGCAGAAAAATTGTGATGTACAAAATTTAAAAGCCCTAAATTAACCTTTAATAGATAGAAGCTTCGATTTATAGACAAGAATCCAGTTATTTCTTTTCATAAACTCCAGAACTCTGAAAATCAATTTTAGAGCATACAAAAGTAAAATATAAATTCTATTTGCGTGATAAACTGATTTCTTTAATGAAAACGAATAAGCACAAAAGAACAGAGCTGATGCCAAAGAACATACACATAATTAATTCATGTACGAAAGTCTAATGTTCCATAGTAACAAAATGAATGGATCTCATTGGTTATATGCCTACCTCACGTAACTAAACGCGTCTAATATCTTTGATAATTCATGGAGGTTTTAAACTTGGACATCAAAATATTTAACAATAATACTACTATCAATGATGGATGATGCACTTTTAATTTAAAACATTTAAACACTTTTTATTTGTTACCCTTCCAAATTAACCCTTATTATCCTTATGAAAATCCTTTCTCGTTAATTCATTGCCAATTTTAAATTAATTAATTTAAAAAATTTAACCAACCTTAAAGTTGACCGATGCTCAGGCTGATTATCAATGGCACCTCCTCAATTTTTTCAAAATAGGTTTTATTAATTATTAAAAATCAAGTTTTTTTCTTCTTCGTAAAGTCCTTATTATTATGTCAAAAAAGTTTAGATCAAAATGAACAAGTCGCTTTTCATGATACACGACATCATGATTGATAATGGACAATAATAATAAATGTTCTGCATCAGAACCTTATTATTAAATCATTTTACAAAATAGTTATATCGAACATGGTTATAGTTAAGCTTTTTTATCCAAAAACTATAAGGACAGGGAACTTGTTTCTCAGGGAAGCTTCCGTAAATCCGGATTTGGAATTTCATGTTGCGAATCTATCCGCGGATTATAATTCGATATATTTATCACACTTTTTAACCAGTTTTGGAAATCAAAAGAAACTTTATAATGAAAAACCATTTTTTTGTAAAAAAAAATGCATTTTTCAATAATGCAGTAGTATTATGGTTAGTGACAAAATAGTAATCTTTTGGCGCCGGAATTTTTCGGTATTTCCGATTAAATCGATTAAATAAAAAAATAAAGATATTCAAAAATGTCCTATTCACTACATTGTTCAAAATAGAATAAAGTTTTAGCTCGTGAAAAGGAGAACAAGATTATGTTATCTGAAATTGTCTAACAATTCAAAAAATAAATTTTATGAGACAATGATATTAAGTACTTACACAAACGGGAATTATAAATGCGTGAAGAGATTAAATTTTAAAAAATGCTGTAATTGCATTAATCTCATTATTATTGTTTTCTTAAATAAGAAATTTTATGGAAAAGGAAAAAGATTTTCTTCGCAAAGAATACCTATCCTATCTTCAGTTGTATAATTAAAGAAAATTTATCTTTATTCAAATTAATACAGTATATACAATTAAAGAAAAAAATTTTATACATAAGAAAAAAATAGGCGAAAGAATAAAAAAAAAAAAAAAAAAAAGTTGTTTTAATAATGTCTTTTTGTTATATTTACAATAAAAAAAATTATGAAGATTCACAAAAAAAAAAAAAAAAAAAAAAAGTCTTAAATTTGCCACTGAATTATAAATTGTCCTTTGAGAATCTTTGATTCCCGGCAGTTTGTCAAAAGAATATCTCATTTCCAAAAACTTTTCCGTACGGAAAACCGCTTTCCTCCTTTATTTTCATTCTCTTCGTCACTACTTCCATAAAAACCATAATCATCATCTCCATCTCTTAAACTCACAACGTTAATGATTTCTTGACAACAGTCCTCCTCCTCCTCTTCTTTTATATTTCCATCTCTCGTAAATTCACTTCCTCTTGGAGTTGATTTTGTGTCCTCGTTTATTATTATACTTTTGCCTTTCTGACTAAGATTCATAGTTAAACGTCTTGTCATTGGCTCAATCTGTAATGTAGATATCTTATAACGCGGAGGTGGACGTGCTGCTTCAATTGTAATATTTAAATGTTGCGAATTCTCATCATCTCTTAACAAAACGTGTGGAAGAGGGGTTGGAGGTGGTGTAGGTGGGGGAAGGGGTGAAGGTGAATCGGACATGGAAATTTCTCTCGTTTCTGCAGCTACTATTGCGGAAGCTAAGGCTTTTTGCTGATGCTTTTTACGTTTTCCATGTATATATACAAATAAAAGGACCGTGAAAAAGAGGAGCACAAGAAAGGAAATTACTATTATTATGGGAATGCGATCATTATCTCGTATTGAGGCGGAAGAAATATTTCCCGGAATTGACGGATCGTCTAAAGAATTTGAAGGTGAAGTAGAGGGAGGAGTTTCCGGTATTATTATTGTATCGATTATATCTGTTTCAAATATATCCGTTACGGTTGGTTCTAAGTTGAAACAAAAAAATTATAAAACATTTCAAATATTAGATAAATTAAATTATTTCTTTTTCTTTTTTCATGAATTATTATTTTAACTAACCTACGGAGATTGTTGGTTCAATAATCGTACTTGGAATTGAATAGCTTAGAGTTATGGTCGGAATTGAAATTGATATAGACATTAGACTTTTTTTGTAAAGAGGAAAAAGTTTCAATGAAATTTTCAGAATTTTAATCAAGCTGATTTATATAAAGTAATTTTTGTACCCATTTATTGGTTTCAGTTTTTCAATTTGTCAAAATAAATGAGAGATGACAACAGAGTTATGATTTTTAATGAATAACGTGCTTTTTTTTTTGACCGGAAAAAAGGGGATGTTAGAAATTCCGAGATATATATTTTTTTTTTAATTGAACTATTTTTTTTTTTTTGAATCAGCCGTTCTATTTATGAGAAATTTTTTGTTTTTCCCTTGATTATCAATCTTTTTGAAGTTTTATATTATTTACATTTTATTTCGCATGTATTATATTTATATTTTTATTTTTTTTTTTCGCGCAACGTGAATACAAGAAATTACATGCAAAAAAAAAAAAATAAAATCATTGACATTCTGTTATTTTAAATACATAAGTGGAATAATCGGAAACAAAAAAAAAGTCTTTCTATATGGATTTTTTTTTATAATACGATTATAATCCATTTTCTATTTGAGGTATTCAAATAAATAAATAATATTGGTGTTTGATTTAACTAATTTTGTTCACAATCTGCAAGTTTTTTATTTATACAACAAAAGAATCTTTTTTTTATATATATATACTATATGCATACAAATAATACAAATATTAATTAATTAAAAAGTGGTTAGATTTTAAACAAGTTAATTTTTCCCAATGTAGAATCAGGTATATATTCTTTAAACAACGATTAAACAAAATTTTAAAAAAAGATTCAAACGAGGGTCATTGAGCAGGGTGGCGAGGTTTTCTTCCCTTTCCAAATAGACATTTTAAAATGAAACCTTTTTAAACTGTCCCTTGTGTATCAAAAAGGTCCAATTGATTTGTTTCAACTTGAAAGATGCGATTTTTTTTTTTATTAAAAGTTTCACCATAATATATATTTCTTGAGGAATTTTCACAACGAATATAAATATTAGAATAGAATAAATACAATTTAATTAAAATCTTTCATAATTTTCCTAGGTCAATCACACTCGTGTTACCTACTTACTATATATATTACATTAATTGCCATATAGGTTGAAGTTCCTTGTATGCGGCGAATCATCGAATTGTTCTATCTATCATCTAATTAACCTAAAAACTGTTTCATATATTTATTTTTATTTTTAAAACTAGTTTTTTCTTTTTTGAAATATCAATGCTGCTGAAATAGCATTATTTCATCACTAAAATTAGTAATAAATGACGCAATTCTAAATTCTAGAAATTCATCGGCATTCGGCATTTGGGTCATGGACTAGCAAAATGCCCCTCCGAGCCTTTTGTCAAAAATATTTTTTTTATGATTTTATATAAGCTG